CAAATAATGTTGAACCATCTAGAAAAAGAAAAAAGCAAGCTCTCAAAAAGGAATTTAAAACTTAAAGACTTTAAATCAATAAGTGTAAAAGGATTAAATATCTTTTGTTTTGTTTTGTTTTAGGTTTTTTTTTTGCAAAAATGGAATCATACAAACTTTGGCAACTTGCTTTTCTTTCTTAATCTGCTATGTAGTAAACATCTTTCCAATTCCTTTGGTAGTAGCCAAAGATTCCATTGTAGTGATCAACTATGACACATCCGTACTCCAGCTGAAGGTTTTTAGGTTGTTTGCAGGTTTTTTGCTACTACAAATAATGCTGAGGAGAACGTCCTCGCCATTTGCCACTTTTGGCTGTCGCATGAGAAATGTTTATGCACGCAGGCTACTATTTCTTTTTTTAGGCTATATTATTAGAAATGAAATTGCTGGGACATGGAGTATGCATTTAAAATCAATACTCCTGTGTGACTTGTGAAAAATTTATATTCCGTCCAATCCTGTATAGATGCCCATTCTCCCACAGTCTTGCAAATGTTGGAGATTACCATGCTTTGAAATTTTCTCCAACTTCTTGGGAGCAAAATGGTATCTTGTTTCAATGGCATTTTTCTTGGAGTGAGATCTCTTTTAGTCTTTTTCTCACTTTTCCTGAGCTTTGAAGTCAGTCTGCTAAGTGAGAGTCTGCCCTCTTGTTCCTCAAACTCAATAGGTCAGAGTGAATTCAGTACTTCTTCCCTCTGCTCCCCCAAATGTATTTATCTTCTGCTTGTTTTCTTTCCAGCCACACCAAGTTTTCTGGGTCAACCCAATCCAGAAACTTATTTTTAATTCTTCCCCTTTCTTTCTTTGTCACCTTCAGTTAGTTATGAAGTCCTGATTAGTTTTTTAAAATTCTAACATCAGGCGTAAGCGGTTAAGTGTGTGCTCTCCGCTGCGGCGACCCGGGGTTCACCAGTTCCGATCCCGGGCGCGCACCGGTGCACCGCTGGTTAAGCCACGCTGTGGCAGCATCCCATATAAAGTGGAGGAAGATGGGCACGGATGTTAGCCCAGGGCCAGTCTTCCAAAAAAAAAAAAAAAAAAAAAGTTTCTTTGGGCTGGCCCCATGGCTTAGTGGTTAAGTGCACGCACTCCGCTGCTGGCGGCCCAGGTTCGGATCCCGGTTGCACACCAATGCACCACTTCTCCAGCCATGCTGAGGCCATGTCCCACATACAGCAACTAGAAGGATGTGCAACTATGACGTACAACTATCTACTGGGGCTTTGGGGGAAAAAAAGGAGGAGGATTGGCAATAGATGTTAGCTCAGAGCCGGTCTTCCTCAGCAAAAAGAGGAGGATTAGCATGGATGTTAGCTCAGGGCTGATCTTCCTCACAAAAAAAATAAAATAAAATAAAATTCTAAAATCATACCTGTGAAGCAGTCACAAAACGCATACAGTTTAAAGAATAATAGGGCAGAAACCCCCATCCAGTTAAGGCTTAGTGTGTCAGGGAACCGCCAGACAACTCTTGGGTTCAGTGATTTGCTGGAAGTTTCAGTGAACCCTTATAAGAACCCAGCAAAGCCATTATACTCACGGTTGTGGTTTATTACAGTGAAAAGATACAATTTATTTATTCATTTATTTTTATTATTTTGCTGAGAAAGATTAGCCCTGAGCTAACATCCGTGTCAATCTTCCTTCACTTTTTATATGTGGGTTGCCACCACAGCACGGCTGACGAGTGATATAGGTCTGGACCTGAGATCCAAACTCACAAACCCAGGCCGCCAAAGTGGAGCATGCTGAACCCAACCACTACGCCACAGGGCTGGCCCCAGGTTACAGTTTAAAATCAGCAAAGCAAAAGGTGCATAGGGTGGAGTCTAGGAGAGACCAGCAGGAAGCTTCTGGTTGTCTTCTCCCAGTGGAATCATGTGATCAGCACTTAATTCTCCCAACAACGGTGTGTGACAACATGTTCAAAGTATCGCGAACCGGAGAAGCTCACATGAGCCTTGATATCCATGGTTTTTATTGGGGGTCAGTCATGTAGGAATGCCTGGGTGCCCACATGACTGACCTTAGCTATTCATTCCCCAGCCCTTCCAGAGGTCAAGCTGATGCCACATTACCCAAGGCCCCACCATAAACCACATTGTTAGCATAGACCATCTGGTGTGGCCCAAAGCCCCAGGTAAACAAAGACACTCTTATCAGGCAGGACATGCCAAGGGCTCAGAGGTTATGTCCCAGGAACCATTCAAGGGCCAGTCCTTTCTTTGGAATGTGCAGGGTTTGAGCATTCCAAGACTGTTGAGTTAACCCTTGACTGCACACCTGGGAAGCAGTCAGGATCCAGAAACATGCAGAAAGCCTCTCTCCCCACTGCAGGTGACGTTGATTCGCACTTTTGTTGGCATATTCCTACCTTTCTTTCTCCTTTCACCGTCTCTGGAAGTGTCTCTAAACAAAATAGTTTAGTTCTGCCCGGTCTTTATTTCCCAGCTTTATTGAAGTACAACTTGTATACAATAATGCCCATCCATTTCATACCAGCATTATTCATAATAGCCAAAAAGGGGAAACCACCCAAATGCCCATCAACTGGTAAAGAGATAAACAAAATGTGGTCTATCCATGCAATGGAATGTTATTCAGCCATAAAAAGGAGTGAAGTACTGATACATGCTAAAACATGGATGAAGCTTGGAAATATTATGCTCAGTGGAAGAAGGTGGACACAATGGACCACATACAATTCCATTTAAGATTTTATTTATTTATTTTTTCCCCCCAAAGCCCCAGTAGATAGTTGTATGTCATAGCTGCACATCCTTCTAGTTGCTGTATGTGGGACTCGGCCTCAGGATGGACAGAGAAGTGGCGCCTCGGTGCGCGCCCAGGATCCAAACCCAGGCCACCAGCATCGGAGCGCACGCACTTAACCACCAAGCCACGGGGCCGGCCCTACAATTCCATTTATATGAAATGTCCAGAATAGGCAAATCCATAGAGAAACAAAGTAGATTAGTGCTTGCCTAGGGGGAGAGGTTTGGGAGGAAATGGGCAGTGACTGCTAATGGGTATGGGGCTTCTTTCTGCAGTGATGAAAATCTTCTAATATTGATTGTGGTGCTGGATGCACAGCTCTGGGAATATACTTAAAGCACTGAATTGCACACTTAAATAGGTGCATTGTATGGTATGTGAATTACATCTCAATAAAGCTATTAAAAGATTCAGCCACTTAAGTGTCCAGTGTGACTTTTGATAATTGTATAGTTGTGTAACCAACACCACCCTCAAAATATAGAAGAGTTTCTTTGTGCTCCTTTGCAGTTAATCTCCCAACTCCCAGCCCCAGGCAACCACTGATCTGCTTTCTGTCACTTTAGTTTTGCCTTTTCTAGAACTTTACATAAAGAATCGTTCCGTGTTTAGCCTTGTGTGTTTGACTTCTTTCACTTAGCATCGTGTTTCTGAGATTCATCCAGGTTCTTGCACGTATCAATCATTCGCTGCCTTTTCATTGCTGAGTAGTATTCCACTGTGTGGATGTTCCACACAGTGCCATTATCCATTCACCATTTGATGGGCATTTGGGTTATTTCCAGTTTGGGGCTATAATGAATAATGCTGTTATCCACATTTGTCTACAGGTCTTTGTGTAGACATATGTTCTCATTTCTCTTGGGAAAATACATAGGAGCAAGGTCTTCCATGAGGTCAGAGAGGAGAAGGGACTTGTCTGAGGTCCCCAAATAGGAAGAGGTTGGGCTCAAAGTCTTAACTCGGGTTTGGCACCAAAGTTGGTTTCTATGGCCCAAGGGGAGGAGAGTGGCCTGTCCTCTAGGGAATGAAGGCTCACAGCTCCCATTTCCCTGTTTCCCAGGTCAGCCACTTGCCCACTCCCTGCCCTGGCTCTGGGGTCCTCATGGCCAGGCTGCATGGGCTCTGGCAGTCCCCATCACCCACCAGGAAGAATAAACAAGACTTGAGGGCAAGAAGAGGCAACAGCCCAACAGACTGAAAATGAGAAAGCTGGACAACACCAAGGACAAGGCAACCATTGTGCACGGATGGTGGTCATGTGGGTGGGCACAGCCATTCGGCAGAGGAATGGAAGTCAAATCAATCCTGTGGGTCAGTGACAATCGCTGACACTTAATGAGCCCTCACTATATGCCAGGCATCATTCCAAGGACCTTACACAGGTTAACTCATTTTATTCCTCACGCCAACCCCACGAAGAAAGTACCGTTGCCTTTGTGCCCATTATATGGATGATGAAACTGAGGCTCAATGGCTTGCCCTAGGCCACACAGATAGTGATGGAGAGATAAGTCCACCCAGGTCAATCTGGCCTCATAGATGAGACTCTCAACCACCGTGATACATGCCTCTGTGTCAACCCACTCCTGAATGTGTTTCCCAGGGAAATTCTTTCACGGGCCAGCAGGGGTCTGTGTTTGATGATGATAATGATGATGAAGATGATGATGATGATGATGATGATGATGATGATGATGATGATGATAATGATGATGATGATGATGATCGAGGGGTGGTTGGTGGAGTTGGGAACTGGGGCGTTGGTCACCACTAGGGCAGCAGAGGGAAAAATAAGGTGGAGGTAAAATGCAGAATAGAAGTCAGCGATAGAAGCAGCAGACTAGATTTGTGGTAACATACAGAAGGGAGGCGGGGAGAGAGACAGGGAGGGAGGGAGAGAGAAATAAATGGGGGAGGAGAGAGAAGAGGAAGAAGATGAGGGGGAAGGGAATGAGAGGGAGAGGAGAAGGAAAAGAAAAGCAAACAAAATACACTCTTCTCCAGTCTACCCAATGAATATGAATGTATCCTTCCAGGGAATATGTCTATAAGATAAATTGGTAATTTTGGTAATTTGGCAAATGTATTCTTGGCTTTTTTCATGCTTCAATTGAGATCATGGGATGACAGATGGTGCAAGGGGGTCTCCATCTGATCTTATCCTTCCTGGGTACCCCCATAGGTCCAGCCCTCGGGTTTCCCTGTCCCCTTGGGGGAAGACCAGCCCTCTCCTCAGTGGCAGGAGAGAGCCACTGAAATGTCTGGAGAAAGGCTGGGTAACAGGCTGCGGAGTATGCGGGACCCAAGCCCTTCCCCTCTGGCCCTGGGTTCAAACCCGCACACTCCACCCAAGCCTGCACCTGTCTTTCAAATCTCCACCTTCCGGAGAATTCCTTAGCTGCCTCTCGTCCTCTCTTTGGGGCTGCCTACAGGCCCTGCAGGGTCTCAGTCCAAGGCCGCCCTCCTCTGGATGCAGGCGAGATGGGGACAGAGAGAGACAAGGAAACATAGTCAGGTAGAGATGAAGATAAGGCATAGAAGTGTCAGAAGGGAAATGGAGACAGACAGAGGGAGCCCCGCCACACCCCTTCTTGATCTTTACAGAGCTGACTGCACCCCTTTCCCACCAGTTTTCAGCCTGACATGAAGTGTCCTGCAAGACCCAGCCACCACCCACCTCCTCTGCCCCAATTCTGCCGCAGCCCCGCCACCCACCTTGTGCTTCAGCAACCCTAACCTCACAAGGTTTCCCACATGGCCATGCCCTTCACACCTTCAGGCCTTTGCATGCTTGTCTCCATCCACAAGGATGCTGTCTTCCTGGAGGTTCCTCTGACCAGTCCCTCTTCATCCTTTAAGTCTTAGCAAAAACGCTTTCTCTGACCACCCTATCCCATTTTCCCATGGCTTCTGGTACTTTCTAGGAGTCATGGCCCCGTAATCCTTTGTACCACTGCCATGAAAATACTTATCACCCTGCACTGGGACTCTCTCTTTGCAAATGTCTGAGCCTCACCGGAGCAGATGCTGAGGCTCTCTGAAGTTCAACTCAAAGGGCACGGCCTGTGCGCTCTGATCAATCTAATTTAAACCCCCGCTCCAACACCTCCTGTAGGGCTGACGCTGGGCAGATCACTCCCCTTCTCTGACCTTCAATTATTTAATCTGGAAAGTGAGGATGACTAATCCTACGTGATTGGTTTGGGTGACACCAAAGATTGCCTTTGCCACATGGAAACGAGTATTCATTCCTTTCCCTTTTTTTATCACGGATCTCTTATGATTGCCAGAGTTTTCAGATGTTGAGGCACTAGAATTGGAGATCAGCAGCTAATAACGATGACGAATATTGATTAGAACGTGTCACATGCCAGGTCCGTTTCGTGGACAGTCACCGTGAACACTCTCATCCACACTGGGCTGTAGGTACAGATGAGGGAACTGACAGCAAGACAAGGGGAAGTCACTGGCTCTAGGCTCTGTTGCATGTAACTGATCTGCTGTTCTTTTCCACCTGTGGTGGACACTTTTGGTGGCCCGCCCAGGTCCCCTCAGACTCCTCTTACCGTCTCTGTGCACCCAGCCCCCAGCTGCTGTGTGCCTTGTACATTAATCATGCCTTTTTATTTTCCATATTTCTGGTACTTTGACAGCTGGGGCCTTGCTGACATTGGAAGGACTGCCCCTCCCAGGGCTAGCCAATTGCTAGCGATAATAAAGGGTTGCCTGTGAGTGTTCCTCTCCTATGCAAGGCAGCCAACCCAGAGCCCAGACCCCCAACCACTTCCTTTATGGAGCTGTTATACCCCAGGCCACTATTGCTCTGCCTAAGCACCCCAGGACCAGAGTCCAGACAACTATGATCAGTCCCCACACCCCAGAGCCTGCTGAAATTATTCAAACGAGGCAATCCTAAGCCTGCTTACCCTGCCTCATATTTCCTTCCTGAGGAACCCACAATAAAGACACTTGGCCACAGTTCCCCTCTCCCCTTCTGCCTCTTGAATGACCCTGGTGCTTCCCCATGTGGCCCTGTGTGGTTTGGTGCGCCCCCTTCCTTTGGGATCTGTGAGAATAACAAACTATCTTTCCAATGGCAGTCGTTTCTTGATCTCTTGACCATACCTGAATAATAAGAAAACCTACATTTGAAAACACTTTGCTGCCAACGGCTTACCCTGTGACCTTCTTTGCAGGACCGCCCTTGGTCTTGAGTTGCCTGGGAGTTTATGCCCCGCCCCCTTCACATGATCCATGGCCCATGATTGACTATAGGGGTGTAGTGGCAAGTTTCCAAATATGGCCCCCAATGACCATGCCCCCTATATTCACACGTTTGTGTGCTCCCCTCCCATATTCAGCCTAGGCTGGCCTGACTTGCATTAACCAATAGAATGTGGTGGAAGTGACATCGTGTGAGTTCCAAGCTTAGTCTTTAAGAGAATGGCAGCTTCTGCTTCCTCCTCTAGGAATGCTTGCTTTGGGGAGCACTGAGCTACCATGTAAGGAGTTCAGCTACCCTGTGGGAGAGACCACATGGACAGGGAGAACACTGAGACTACACAGAGAATGAGAGAAGTCCAGATGTCCCACAGCCCAGTTGGGTCCGGCCTACTAGCCATCCTGCCAAGGCACCAGACACTGCTGAGTGCGCCATCTTGAATGTTGCAGCCCAGCTGGGCCCTAAGATGACCAAGCCCTAGTTGACATCATATGCTGCTGAAGAACTGCCTCACTGAGCCCAGTCAGCCCATAGGAGTGTGAGCAATCATAGATAGTTATTATTTTAAGACTCTAAGCTTTGGGGTGGTTGGTCATTTAGCAATAATAAACCCAAACAGGGATCTCCCTTTGCCTCAAAGTGGGAAAGATTCTGTAACTTAATTTATCCTCCAGAGCTCCCCATGGGATCAGGTTGAGGTTGGGACTTCATCTGAAGTCACCATCTTGCTGGTCTTCCTCCCCTTCACTGTCCTGTTTCATCCACTCCTTTGTGGTTCCTCCAGGGAGCATTTCTTTAATAAATCATGGGCACGTGAATCTTGTCTCAGGCTCTGCTTCCAAGAGAATCACCTCAGACACGATGCTTCTGGCTTTCTCTTCACCAACGAGGACCCAGGATGTGGCTCCCTCTTCTCCCTCCCCACTCTTCCCTGCCCCTCTCCTGCATCCAGAAAGCACAGACCACCTTCCAGACTCCCCAGCAACAGACAGCCATCTAGTCAGTGGGATGGGGGAAGAAGGTGGGAACAAAGACATCCATGAGGTCTCTGAAGGAAGCAGCAAGCAACTTGTTTGCCCTGGCCAGCAGCAGATGAAACCTCCCTGTCCCCCATCACACAACCATGGAGGGGATCATACGGAGGTTAGGCAGGCAAAATCAGGTGGTTGGCATATCAGCAGCAGATCTGGGGCCAGGTGGGGATATCTCTGATTTTGTGTCTGTTGTGGGAGGGGCTCTGCAGTTTGTTCCAACCCCTCCCTCAGGGAGTCTGTCTCTGCAACCTCCCCATCCCCACCAGTTCTCAGTCCCTGGAAACCCCAGAATCCATCACCATGGATCCTCCAGCAGATCCCACAGCCGGGTGCCACTGGAGTCACATAAGTCAGCAGAGAAGATGCTGGGGGCTGGGGGGCCACATCCCAGCGGGGGACCCCCACTCAGAGCCTCCAGCCAGTCCAAGGAGTCCGTGGGCCCCCTGGGAGAGGGGGATGGGGAGTTCGTGGGAGACGGGAGCGAGGAAGAGAAGACAGACGAGAGGCCTTCAGAGTCCGGGGAGGGGGAAAGCACGTCGAAGGAGCCGGGGAAGTCCAGGGGGATGGGGGGCAGCGGGACTGCAGGGGAAGAAATGGAGTGTGAGCTTAGGAAGTCAGGGATCCAGACCCCAGCCCTCTATTCCTCGTTTCCAGGAGTCTAGATCTCCAGCCCACTCCTCCCTAGGACCCATGAGTCCAGAACCTCAGCCCTCTTTTCCCCAAAATCTAAAAGTTCGGCTCTTACCATCAGGCTCCACTTGATCCTCCAGGATGTCATCGATGCCCCGGTCCGGAAGCAACTGCGGACGGGCAGAGGCAACGTGAACCTGAGACTCCGGCCCAGATCCTGACCGGAGACCCCTAGCCCGCTCCCTCTCACCTGAGCCCTGCGGATCGCTTCCTGCAGCTCCTCCTCCAGAGTCAGAGTCGCCGAGGCTGGTGCTGAGGAAGGGGTCAGCGCCGGAGCCGGAGCCGGAGCCGGAGCCGGAGCCGGAGCCGGAGCTGGAGTTGTCACAAGGGTTTCCGCGACACGTGGAAGAGCCGGCAGGTGAGATGTTGGGCTTGGCTTTACCTGGAACCACCAGGGGGGCGAGTTCCTATAAGCCACGCCCACTGGGCGCAACCCCAGCCACTCGCAACTTGTGGCTCCACCCCCTGGTCGCGTCCTGGCCCTTTGTTCCTCGACACCTCCCTTCGGCCCCGCCCCCTATTCTTTCATTGGCTTCTCTTCCTTTAAGATCCTCTCTCTTTGCTCTTAACCACGCCCCTCGCACTTCATTGGCTATTGTTTTCGACTTCCCGCCCTGTCCCGCTTTATTTTCTTCTCATTGGTCCACGCGCGCATAGCCCCGCCCTCACGGAGACCTGCCGCCGGGCGGCTCCCAGAGCCTTGGGCCTGAGGCGCGGCCAGGCAGCACCCGCGGGACTGTCCTCGCGCCGCGGCTTCGGCCTCTCGCGGGGCGTGGCGTCGCCGCGCATGCGCTCCAGGAGCATCGACTTGGTCCCTGACACCGGGAGGCCCCGCAGGCGCAGCTGCTGTCGGAGCTCCGAGACCTGGGGTGGAGGGCGGGGAGAGGCCGTGCTGGGAGGGCTCCGGGGCGTAGGCGGGAGCTGGGGCTGGACCCCTGGAAACCGAGAGACGAGGGACTGGGGACCCGGGCTCTTGGTCCCCACCGAAGGAGAGGGCCAGCCGGGGAAGTTACTCCCCACACTCACCGTCAGCTCCTCCAGTTTAAGGGTCTGAAGTTCCAACTTGTGTGGAGGGGGCGAGGGGCTGGGGATTCCTGGGAGGGAGGGAGTGAGAGGAGTGGGCTTCATCCTGGCGATGGTCATGAGGGGGAAACAGAGGTTAGAAGGGGCAGAGAAAGAAAAGACATTCCGGATTCCTCAAAGACAGGGGCTCGTGAAAATGCAGGAAAACGAGGCCCCAGAATTCCAGCAGTCCGAGGGAGCCAACACAAGAGGCTAGTTCTTGTGCATGGGAGAAGAGGGGCTTCTCTTGGGGGCTTAGACTCTTGGGTCAGAGGCCGGGACTCCTGGGAACTGAAGGAAGAGGGGCTGGGGACCTGGACTCCTGAGTCCCGGGAGCGGAGGGAGTTCGGGGCCGGGTTCCCCTGATCTTGGATTCTGGGTTTGACGGAGGAGGATGCTGGGGGCCTGAACTTCCCGGAGAACAAAACTGGGGGGTCATACCTAAGAGGTGGCTGCTGTGAGTTTCTCTCTTCCCACAGAGGTGGCCCTGGAGGACCCAGGGCTGACCCTTCAGCCTGGGGGTCTGCCCTGGACCGTTGTCTCGGCTCTGGGGGCATGTACTGGTGGTATGTCAAGTTCCCCTTGGGCTTGGGCTCCCTCCAGTGTTGGGAGATCTTAGGAGACTCCTGAAAAAGCAGGTATGATGTCATAGGCTTCAGCTGAATTCCCACTTTCCTGCCCCAGAGCCCCATGCAAAGGATGGGTTCAGCTTAGCACCCCAGAGAGTAGCAAAAAGGGCAGCAGCAAGGAAGACCAAAGCTAGACTATCAGGGGGACTTCCCCTCACACTGGTCAAGACTCACCTTCTTCAGGGACCTCCAAGCGCAGTATTCTGGCTCAGGGAGCAGGACCCCAGGGCTGAAGAGGGGAGGAGCGGGGCCCAAGGGCAAGGCTGGGGCCGGAGCCAGAGCCGGGGCTGAGGCTGAGATCCACGGATCTGGATCTGAGACTGGAGAGGCAGTGAAGGACCCTGAGAGGCCCGCAGGCAGCAAGCCAGGCAGGGAAGAACAAGGCTGTGTGGGAAGGAGGGCCCTGGAGGCCTCAGCCCCTGGGTACAGGAGGGCAGGCCCAGCAAGCAAAACCCAAGTGGTGGGAGCTGGGTGCCCAGACTCCTGAGTCTAAGGGCAGAGATGCTAGGGACCCAGAATGTACATTCTCAAGAAAGGCAGGAATCGTGTCCTCAGACACCAGGGAGTGCGGTAGCTGAGGAGCACAGATTTCTGGGGTTTTGCTGGAAAGCGATGGCGCCAGCAGTCCTGGTCCTTGGGGAGAGAATCTGAAAGCCACATCCTGAGATTCATATGTGTGCCAAGTGTGGAGTCTGGGACCCCCGTCTTCTCCAAAGAAACAGGATCTGGATTCATGCATTTCACTGGAGTGGGAAGAGCCAAAGAGCAGGAAGCAGAGCTCCTAGTGGTGGGGTGGCCGGGGACCTGTACTCCTGGGTCCTCGGGAAAGGACAGGATGGGGTTTCAGTGTATCCTGGGGCATAGGGACAGAGCCAGCGCAGGATATCTGGTGGCTGCACTCCAGGGTGCCCCAGGGGAGTGGGGCCACCATCCCCTCCCTTTCAGGGCCCACACTTACTCGGGTCCTGATACCGTCTGTGGATCCGAAGCTGGAGGACTGTGGAGGGAGGAGGGAGGAGAAAGGCGGGAAGGGAGTGTCCAGGAGCATGGCCTGGCAGGCGAGTGCAAGCTGCAGTTGGCGGGACACGCGTGCCCAGCCTCCTTACACACCCCGTGCAGGCGGGTGGGCCGTCAGCCTGCTCCCTTTCCAGGGCCTCCCGCCTGCTCGCTGCCAGCACAGTGCTGAGGGCCAGAGCAGTGCTGGGGCTAGGAGCCAGCCAGTGTGCAGGCAGGAGCCCTGCCCCCAGCTCCACCTGCCCCCTTCACGAGTGTGTGCCCACCCCACCCTCGGCACAATCGCCATCTTGGCAGCCTGGCCCGTTTGCACTGTGCTGCCCTATATCAATGCACCCTGCTTTGCACACGCATGCTCCCTTCTGTGCTACCTCTGGACCTCCTCCCAGTCACCCCCTCTGCACACCTCCCTTCAAACATGCATTTCCCTGGGCTATAGTTTTGCACATTCGCCACTTTTGTGCTCTTGTCCCCTTTGATACTGTTCATCCTCGGCTCATTCTGTCTTGGCACCCACCAAGCCACATTAACACCCTTATTTGCACATTCAGGATTTGGCCCCCAGTTTTGGAGCAAAAATCTCTCTTTGCACAAAAATCTCTCTTCTGCTCTTTGTACACGTGCACTCTTTTGCATGCTCCTTGCTGTTTGGTTACTGGTGTCTTTGCACCCACCCAACCATGAAAGCACACTCATTTGCACACTCGAGTACGCTTTGCCTATTCAGGAGTTGACCTCCAGTTCCAACCACTTGCATACTTTGTGCCTGCACTGGGACCTAAAATACAATCTTTGACACTTTCAAGGCTTGAGAGCTCATTGTCCCCTCACCCCACTTCCACACTAGTCACTCTGAAGTCCCCACTCCGTGCACTCCTCTGCTTTATCCACCTGTCAATTTAAACCCCTGTTCCTTTGTAGTACCTGACCCTCTGCACACCCACCCTTAGCCCCCCACTCCCTGCTGTTCACATGAGCAGTGTATTAGCCATTTGCACACTCATTGATCCACCACAACTCGACCCCTTTGCTGGTGCCTGCTTTATGTACAAGTGACCTTTTGCACAGAAAACCCAAGCTTCGTGGGCCCCACCACCACCTCCCAGTTCACCCCGCCGTGCACGGTCCCAGAGTTACAGTATTCCCAGGACCCCGGGGACCCCTTCCCTGCATGCACAGAGAGAAGCCTCTCACCGGATCGGAACTTGGAGCGAATGATCTGGGAGCGCTGGGAGGAAGCCGCCAGGGTCATTGCCAAGGCTGGGATGGGGACCTGGACTGGGGGGAGGGCAGGGCCCCCACAGGAGGCAGGGTCAGAGTGGACGTCAGCAGGCTGTCCCTGCGTGTGAACGCAGCAGGGAAAGGGCCTAAGAGACTTAGGGATAGGAGACGCCTTGGGCCATAACTTCTGGATCTTGGGGGAAGAGAGGGCTGAGGGCCCGGACTCCCGGGTCTGAGGGAGGAGGGGCTGGGTGCCCAGACTGGGAAGGAAGGACCTGGGGTCTGGGACTCCGGGGTCCTAAGATAAAGGGCACTGGGGGGCCTGGACCCCGGGCCTATGGAAGGAGAGGAAGGAGAAGGGGCTGAAGGGCCAGAACTCAATACTCTGAGGGGACTAGAATCCAACATCCTTGATCAAGAGGAGAAAAGGGACCTGACAGTTCCCTGGGGAATGGAAAGGTCTCTGCCACCTGCATTTGAGAAAGGAGTAGGTGGGTGTCAGCCACCAGGGTCTGTGGGGAAGGGACAAGGACCAGAGAGGTGACAAGAGAGTTAAGGCGAGTCTCCCCACCCCCCATCCCGGGGGCTTCTCACCAGGTGGGCTCGGCGCAGCTGTGCTCTGCAGCGGGTTGCGTCCCGCGGGTTAGGCTGGAGGCCACAGGCTCCGCCCCACCAGCCTGGGACCGCCTCGGACCCCCCTTTCTGGGGCGTGCCGGGAGCCCCGCCTGGGACCCTGCGAAGGGGCGGGCGCGCGGGCTGGGAGGGCCCGGGGCGGGGCGGACGTCGGGGTTCCCTGGCTCGCTCCTCCTCCGCGTCCTGGGGCTGCGGGGTCGGGCGGGGCAGCAGCGGGCGGACTGACAGAAGCAGGTGCCGGGAGGGGGCCGCCGGGTGAGCAGCAGGGGCAGGTGGTCGCGTCCTGGCCCTGCAAGGCAGGTGCCACCTGTCGCTTACTTTTTCCCTGACGCAGCAGCAGGAATCGGATTCAGAGGAGGGAAAAGTTCAAACTGGAGCCCCGGACTCCTGATTCTGAGGGATAAGGGGGTTGGGGGCCCCGATTTCCGGATGTGAGGGAGGAGGGATGCCAGAACAGGGACAAGAGGTGTTGCGATTCGGCAGTGTACCCAACAGGCAGAAAAGTCGAGAAGGGAGCTGGGAACCCAGACTCCTGTGTCTGCGGGAAGAGGGGGCTGGAGTATGGGCTTTTGGGGTCGAAGGAAGAGACGGCTGGTTCCCACTGGCAGGACTGAGGGCCTGATATTTGGCAGAGCAAGCGTAGAGCTCTGTCCCGAGATGCGTGGGAGGCCCCAGTGCTCCTGGGTTGAATTACACGCAAGAGGGCAAGCTGAGGCCGTGGCTATAAATACCTCCTTGGACTCGGCAGGAGCCCAACGCTCCAGTTAACGGCCCTGGTGCTATATTCCGCAGAAAATCATCATCTCTAGAGCTCTCGAGTCTTAACAAGCGAGGTGTTGCCAATACCACAGATACCTTTATTGCTCCTGGCGCTCAAATCCCAAGCCCATCTTCCCACCGTCCCATCCTCTACTACCCGAAAACTCAAACTCCCAGCATTCCATGCGGGGAAAAAAACTACAACTCCCAGAAAGCTCTGCGCTAAGGCGGGCTCCAGTGAGTAGAAGCCGGTGAATTTTCAAGGTTCGCGCGCTCGTTTTCTATTGGTTTTCAAGGAGGCGTGGCCACGGGAGGTCCGTGGCGGTGATTAGCCGGCAGTTCCTGCTGCTCAAGATCCCAGAGGAGGCGGCGGAGCCTGCGCAGTTCACGGTGCAGGGCGTCGTCCGTCACGGGGCCCGTGAGGCGCAGGCGCGAGCTGCCCAAGGGCAGAATGAGGGGAGGGTGGGAGGAGAAGCTTTCGAAGATGTCCCCTATGAGACCGAAGAAGACGGAGTTAAATTCTGAAAATGGGCGTGAGGCGGCAGTGACAGGGAGGCTGCGTCACCCCCGAAGGAAGGGAAAACTTCAGTCCCCAGCATCTCCTGGAGCAGGCTCCATTCAAATGTGACTCTTGGAGTCCCCAAGCATCATGAGAGTTGTAGTTCAGACTATGAGAGGCCACCGTTGCCTAGGAAACGGGCGATGTAGTTGGGTTCTTGGGTCCATGAGGAAGGAAGGGCTGGGAACTTAGTTTTATGGATTCCTTAGAGTGGAGAGGGCTGGGATTTGGACTCCTAGGTGAGGGGGCTAGATTATAGGGGGATGAGGCTGGGGCCTGAACCCCCGAGAAAAAAGAGAGTGCTGGGGGCTTGAGCTCGTGTATCCTGGGGGAGAAGGGAGTTTGGGGTCCAGCACTTAGGTCCTGGGGGAGGAGAGGGCTAGGGGTCCAGAATCCTGGGGCAGGAGGAGGAAAGGGCTGAGGATATGGATTCCTAGGTCCTGAGGACAGAAGAAAGCTGACAGCCCCAGTGCCTGTGTCCCCATTTCTCCTCACCTGTGTCCACAGCATCTCGCTCTGCAGGGGGAGGCTCCCACGTAGCTGGTGGCACACGGCCAGGACCCAGCTGGTAGTGGCTGAGCAGATGGTGGAGTTGAGCAGGGGTCAGTGTGGGGTGATCAGTTCGTAGGCTGCTCCATGAAGCCTGGTGGGAAGATGAGGTGAGGAATCTACAGCCACTTTGGGGCAACTAAAAAATCCTAAAGGGGAGGCCCTCCGTAAAGGGGGTGGATGAACTGGGTAGACAGTGGTGTGCCTGTACAGTGTCTTCCGGGCCTGGTTGTCACAGATGTGAATGTTGGGAAGGGCATGCTCTCAACTTTAAAAAATATGTGATTTGCTTCTGAATAAATGAGGATATAGGAGTAGGCAGGGGCGGAGAAGAAACAAAACTGGCCATTAGTTTATCATTCATTTCTATTCGTGAAGCTGGTGATGTGTACGTGGGGATTCATTATTCTACTGCGGCTACTTTTTGCATCTGTTTGAAAATTTCTACACCTAACCTAGCTGGCATCAGAATCATCAATGTGGTCAAAGCCAGAGGCTCTGGACCCAGCTGGTCCGGGTTCAGAAATCCCAGCTTCGTGACTTATTACCTTCTGCAAGTCATTGTGCCTCAGTTTCCTCATCTGTAAATTGGGGGAGAATAGAAAATACCTACGAGAGTTGTTATGAGGATTCAATATAGCAAGATTAGAAAGTACTTAGAACACTGCCTGGTGCTTATTAAACGCTCTGTGAAAGTTTGATAGATAAAAGTAAACAAATGAGGGGCCAGAATGGTGGCGTAGTGGTTAAGTTTGCACGCTCTGCTTCGGTGGCCCAGGGTTCACAGGTTTGGATCCCAGGCGCGGACCTACATACCACTTATCAAGCCATGCTGTGGCAGGCTCCCACATATAAAGTAGAGGAAGATGGGCATGGATGTTAGCCCAGGGCCAATCTTCCTCAGCAAAAAGAGGAGGATTGGCAACAGATGTTAGCTCAGGGCTAATCTTCCTCACCAAAAATGAATGAATGAATAAATAAATAAAAATGAAATTTTAAGTGACCTATCCTACCTGATTCTCAGTTTCCTTCTCCAAAAATATTGTCAATTGATAACCTACTTCATGGGGCTTAGTCAGCATCAACTAGAAACACTAAACACAGTGTCTGAAATGTAGTTTATGTTCAATGACTGGTTTAACCATCACATTCCTTGGTCTCATACCAGACTTCCTGAATCAGCATGTCTGAGGGAGGGGGCCCTGGAAACTATTATTAATAAGTCCCAGAGGGATTCAGATGCAGCCCAGTTTGGACACTGTTGTTGCTGGCTTCCTTCACCCAGGGTGTGTGAGCTGAGACTGGGGATAAAATGGAGTCCGCGGGGAGATCCACAGGTGAGCTGAATGCAGAAGATGGCTGAGTGGGGCTGGGGAATCAGAGGTCAGGGGTTAGGAGTCACCTTGAGTAGGGAGGTGCGGGGAATGCAGAGCAGGTTTACAGCCATGGAGAGTTTCCGGAAGAACTCAGTGGCAATGTCGCCCAGCCCAGCCCCCTGCAGCCAGTCCGAGACAAGGTCCAGGTTAGTTCGGATTTGGACGGCTCGAGACCACTGATAGAACGGTTGGCCTTGACCTGTGAGGGAAGGAAATGAAGGGTGATGGGTGCGTGGACCCTGCCCTCCTGCCTCCCAGACCCTTCCTATCCTTCAGCTTGGGATCTGGAGCTTGCTCTCCAGAGTCCTCAAAGGTGAGACCTGAGCCTGTGGCATTTCTGACTTGACATGACTTTCAGTGGCTCCTGTCCCTACCTCCCTTCCCCTTCCCAGTCTGACCCTTACCTCGTTCCATCAGCGAGTTGAGAAGGGACGCATTGGAGAAGAAGAACAAGTAGCCAAAAGTCTGAGACACGAGGTCTGGGTGCAGCTCGCACTGGCTGGTCAGTTCCAGAGCTGCCTGGAACACGCCCAGGGTAGGTCTCAACCCCAGAGGCATGGACTCCAGATCTGCACCAGGCCCTGGCAGCTCTGCCCCACCTGTGAAAGGGTTACTATCCAGGAGAGCAGGCAGCGTTGAATACAGAGTCTGAGGAGATACAGAGATGCAAACAAGCGATCAGACTACAACTCCCAGGAAGCTTCAGGGTGGTAGAGCATGAAGATACTAGGGCGCTCCACCAAAGGCTTCTGGGAGTTGTAGTCCATTCCATCTTTAACACCCTAAAGGTCTCCATTAGCAAATCTCTACTTTCTAGATGGGTTTCTAGCATTCATCAGGCCTGGGAAACCTCAAGTCTTAAGAAAGCCATTTGTGGGGCCGGCCCCGTGGCTTAGCGGTTAAGCGCGCACGCTCTGCTACTGGCAGTCCGGGTTCGGATCCCAGGCGTGCACCAATG